TTTCAAATCTTGTTTTTATAAACTGACATCAAGTCATAAATCCTTATTTATAGATTTTTCAAAGGTTTTACCAAAACTTCTTTTATTATTTTATATTGTCAAATGCATTCCTATATATGTATAGTTATATAAGTAATGTTTGAAGGGCTTAGGAAGGCTAGCTCGCTTTAATCCCTTTTCCTTGTTTGGATGTGGCTTTAGGGTATCGGTTATCCATCCAAAGGTCATCTAAATATTAGATATATATCATGTATACCTATATATTCATAAAAGTTTTATTAGTCAATTCATTACCTTTAGGTAGCAAAGGCATCTAGATAATCTCTCAAGTAAACTATAATGGGTATAGTTTAGAAACCAACCCTAACATTCATGAAGGAGAACTTAGTTATATCTATATTCTAAAACATATACTTTTAGTAAAAAGAAAGGTTTATAGAAATCAAAACACAAGATACATCCTCATTACGCAGATTCCACCATTGTCAAGTTGGTAACCAGAGTCTCTTGGAGGGAGAGCGGGCATTGTGTGTATAGATCTATACGGGATAGACACTCCCACATCCTGACTGCTAGCTACAGTCTCGGCCGACCAAGCCAAGGGGTGACAAATGTCACATTCATTCCGACGCTAGCAGGTCGTCAAGTATTCGATCATCAATCAGTATGGTTACGAGTATCTTTACATTTACCTTATAATTCATGGCTTTAAGGTTAGAAGTATTATTATGGTATTTTCTATATATATATATATATATATTATATATATATATATATATATATATATATATATTCCTAGTTATGCACTAGGCCACGCTTTAGATCTTTAAAGAAACCTACTTAGGATTAAAGATTCTTTTAGACTTTGCTAGACGTATTGCTCATTCAATACTGTCTGGAGTCTGTACTTCATCCTTTTAGACTTTTCTAGACGTATTGCTCATTCAATACACTCTGGAGTTTGTACTTCATCCTTTTCGACTTTTCTAGACGTATTGTTCATTCAATATTGTCTGGATTCTGTACTTCATCCTCTTAGACTTTGCTAGATGTATTGCTCATTCAATACTGTCTGGAGTCTGTACTTCTTTCTTTTTGACTTTGCGAGATGTATTGCTCATTCGATACCGTCTGGAGTCTGTACTTCATTCCTTTAGACTTTGCGAGGCACATGGTTCATTCAATACCACCTGGAGTCTATGTTTTATTCACTTTTAGCTAGCAGTGTTACTGCTGAGGTAAAATATTATTTTCCCTATTACTTTTGCTTATGATCTTCTCACATATTTTTTAAAGTATAAACTATATTCTGATAATGATAGTACTTTTAGGGGAAATTACTCCTTAAACATAAAACGGTCAGGTCTTGGTAGAAGACTATTATTATTAGAAAATATAGCATTTTCTGGAAGAAATTCTAATACTCTGTAAATTCTAAACCACCATCTTTTATGAGATTACTTTGAAGAAAAATATGTATTTATATCATTGCCATTAAATACTTATGAACTCACCAGCATTAAAATGTTGATACTCGCTTTCAAAATAACTTGTATTCTCAGGTCATAAAAAGATAGGTACACTCCGGGAGCTTTTGTGAAGTCGTCCTAGTACCAAGCTGCAGCTTATGTTATTTCCTATATCTACTTTGATGTTATTGTTAAATGTAATCTATGTAAAATTATTACTATTAATGCAATGGTTGTTGTACTTTGATTACTATACTGCATATGTTGTGATACTTGACATGACGTCCTCCACCCCAGAACGTTTCCGCCGTTCCAGTTTTGATGTGTGACACGCCCGTATATTCGGACTAGTCAATTTAGAGACAATAAGCGTCAAAAATGACTTCTTGATAGAAGTTTATTTATATGAAATAACATTAACTTAGTTACAGTATATGTCACAAGGGTTCCGTACATATAAAAAACACCGAAATCCGAGTTATAACAAAGAAGTTATGACCCGTCGAAGTTTTATAGCAAAACCGGCACGACACTGGGAATTGTAAAAAGTGAATTTAACATAAAATAGTTTTTAGACTTAGAAATATAAACAAAAGTCATAGCATACGTTAAACCGAGAGCATGCATAAAAAGAACATCCAAATCTGACTTCGTATGAGGAAGTTATGATTTTTCTAAGATTTGGCATAACAGTGCACAACCTAGAAATTCAAATTTTAGAATGGTCGATTTTTATCCAAAACAATCTAAATGAAAATATCTCGTTAATATGAGCTCAACGATAAAAAGACAGTCGAAACGGAGCTCGTATGCGAAAGATATGGACGGAACTTAGACCTTACTCTTCAAACGCGACAAATTCGATACAGATTTGTAAATCCGAGATAGAGTGAGAATTAGTTGATGGAGTCTAAATGAAAGTTTTAGTACTCATAAATACCAACATGTGGATATAAAGAACGTTGAGAATAAAGCTCGTATGTTAAAGATACGAAGGAAACTTCATCCCTACTCTTCAAGCTCGACAAATTTGATACAAATTTGTAAATCCCATATAGAGTGAGAAATAACTGATGGAGTCTAAATGAAAGTTGTAGTACTCATCGAGCTCGATAAATTCGATACAGTTTTGTAAATCTGAGATAGAATGAGAATTAGCCGACGGGGTCTAAATGAAAGTTGTAGTACTCATAAATACCAAAGCGTGGATATATATAGATCGTAGAAAACAGATCTCGTACGCAGAAGATACGGATGAAACTCAGGGCCTACTCTATGATCAAATCCCTATAAATAACGGATTTATTCTTCATATTTTCTTCACACCATAAGCCTTTCTTTCTCTCTCTAACTTCTCTCTAAGCCCTCCCAACCCCTAGTATCTTCAAAGTTCTATAGGAAAGCCCCGGAGCACCAGCAGGCTCTTAGAAAAAGGGCTTTTCGGCTCGGAAAGTTCTGCCTCTGCAGAGCCCAGTTCCTAGCAAACCCCACGGTAAGTGAGATACGCTTACCCTACTTTAAGTGTAGCTTATATTTAAATTTATTATCATTATTATGAACTTATAATAAATATTTGGGCTAGTATTATGACTTATATAAGTGTCGTTATAATATCTTTTGAACTACTCGCGGTATGGGGAATCCAGTTTGAAGGGCCGCCTGGGTTGTTGGATTTTAGAAGTGCTTTAATGCCAAAATAGTCCTGCCCTCCAGTGTTTCATTTCTGGTCCCTGTCTATACATAGTGGTTGGAAAGTATTGTTTAAACGTTTATATAATAATAATAATAATAATAATAATAATAATAATAATAATAATAATAATAATAATAATAATAATAATAAGACTAATATTTAGTCGCGATAAATATTAGACTAAAATCTAGTGGTAATGATACTAGGTTTGTAGAAGGAAAAGAAAATTGTTAGAAGCAAAGCGATGCCCGACTTTGGAGTCATCACATTAACAAGTGAGTGCATAGTTACTTTCATCTTACACATAGATATGAAGTATTTAATATAAATTACGTGTTATATGTGCATTTTATTTGTGTTCTTGATATCTATATAGGATGAACGTTATATACATGTTTTATTTGATTGCAATGGGTAAAGATGGGTAGATGAAAGATGAGTTGGATGATGAGATGAAAGGTGATATAGATCATGAGATAATGGTGAGAGGTGAAAAATAAGAGAAGCCTTTACCCAAGCATTGACCCCGTCATCTAGCAGAGTATGGATGACAACCACATATCATTTTAGACGGTCCGGTGGAACACTAGTAGGCTCACAACCTGTAGGTGTTGTGAACGATATGTTCACCCGGTGTACTCTAAAACCCATTGACATGTATTGTCGGTGGACTCTCGAAAATAATATTGTCAATAAATGAGATAAACCCTAGCAGCTAAGGACTTAGCGCCTGTTGGATAAACCCTGACAATTATTGACTTAGTGTCTGTTATATAAATCGTGGAAACGATGGACTCTGTGCCTATTCCTTAGTACAATCTTTAGGAATAAAAAAATGAGGAATAGATGATTCATAGGTAAGATACTTAAGAATAAAGAAGATAATGGGGATAGGTAATTGGGTTAATTGTTTGATGATGAAACATAATAACTTTATTATTGTGAGTTGAAAACCCTATGTACTCACCAGGTTTCCCAAACCTGACCCACTCAGTGTATTTGTATCACAGGTGTCGATTTGAAGCTGCATTATGCTGAGAGATTAAGGAGATGTAGATCACTAGTGTAAATAAATGTAAAGTATGTTTCTGCTTATGCTTCTGTATTAGCGATGACATCCTAAAGTTTTAAAATTAATAAAATACATTTCTTCGGAAATGCTTTGATAACATATTTATCATGATTTTCTGGGAACAAATTCTTCAACATATTTATTTAAAAGATACTCTGATTTTCAAAATAAAGCATAAACAAAGCGGTTTTTTCTGGCCATGAAAATAGGGATGTCACACTATGTATGGTTGGGTTAAGGCGGTCATGCTTTATGCTGAAGGCCAACAAACCTAGGGCGGCCCGAATAGACTGAAGGCTAGTGGGGTGTACCAGTCGGGTCGAAGGCCCGAAGAACAGTCCAGATAGGATGAAAGCCTGGTGAGGCGATCCAGTCATGCTGAAGGTTCTGTGAGCGGTCCAGATAGTCTGTAGGACCGCGAGGCGGTCTAGTCATTTTGAAGGCTCTGTATGCATGTTTTTTATTGTTATTATTCTGGTTTGTGTTGTTGGTATTTGGGGGAAACTCACTAAGCTTTGGGTTTACAGTTTGGGTTATGTTTCAAGTACCTCAGTAGATCGCGGGAAGGCGAAGGTGTGATCGTTCAGCTTCTCGTGTTATGTTATAAGATTTTGGGAAAAAATCTAATATGGAGCATGTTTTAAAAACTATTTTGTAAATAATGATGATTTATGGGTTGGTTTTAAAAGTTTAAATTTTTCATGAATGTTATGGATGTTACAATTCTCATGAAGATATGTATTCAAAACAATCAAACCTAAAATGGTCAAATGTATACATCCTCTGTTGGGTTATAAGTCCTAAGATATAAAGGAACATAATCACAATGAAACAGTCATAAACAGATCTAGAGAGATAAAGATCAAGAAGATTTACCTAACACCAGCATCACCAACAATTCTGATAGCCATACCACCAGAAAGATCAGCAAGGCCACAAGCAAGACCAGAGGAAAGATGAGCGTATCCATCAAAGAGATAATAAGATTTGGCCTTTGGGTTAATCCCGATACTGATAATCATAGCAATAATCAACCCGTGAATACCTAACACTCCAACCATAACCACCGGCATAATCGACTACATCACCAACTCCGACCTCATCATTCCCATCGACGCCACATCAACACCGCTTTTAGCCATCCCATATGTTGCCCCCATGCCTGCATAACAATAACCTATGAAATTCCTTGCAAAGGAAGGATGAGTTGCATGTAATTCCTATGAAATTACATGGTAAAGAAAGTTTGTTTGACGTGAAATTATTAAAAAAAATATCTTTAGAAAACAAAATCATATTAGGAACGATGATTAGTTCTACATCTCGAGGTGGTGACCGATGTTAATTTTGGGGGAAATAAACATAATCGATAAGAGAATTATATGCGAAGGATATCAGAGGAAGAGGAGTTGTAGATGATGTGACCAAGTGACGATCCAACACTGAAGAAGAAAGTTATTGAAGGAAGAATCGGATAAGAAAGTCGCCTGGAGGAGAATGTGGGTTGGGGTTGTGTGAAAGAGATCATTTTGCAAAATTATAATCGATGTGATCAAGGGTTATGATTGCGAGATACTTTATCATCCAAGGAAGGCCAATGTGGTCGCCGATTCTTTGAGACCAAGGCGGCTAGTGCCCTATTAGAGGACTATGTTTGAGGATGACCATCGTGTCTCCGACTTTAGATTTGATCGGGGAGGCTCGGGCTGAGGGAATTAAGAGGGAGAACTGGAAGAAAAAGAAGTTCAAGCGCCAAATTAGCAATTCGTCACTGATAGTCGAGGATTACTGACCTAGTATGGGTAGGTTTAGGTCCCAGTTTCAGGTGGGTTCCAAAAAATATTGTTATAGGAGGCACATATGTCTATGTTCTCGATTCACACTAGACCTAAGAATATGTATCGAGACTTGAGACTTAGTTATTGGTGACCTTGCATGAAGAGAGAGATAGGGGTTGTTTGGTAGGATTTGAATTTTTAATATCTGAATTTTTAAGAGGTCTGAATTTCTAAGAGGGTCTAAATTTTTGAGATCTAAATTTTTAACGTGCTGTTTGGTTGGAACCTCTGAATAGTTGTGTTGCATTATAAAATGACCTTTTTACCCATCTGTATTATTATGCTTTATAAGATAACCAAAACAACTTCTTGAATAATTGTAAAAAAACATCATTAATCTACATTAAACATAAATCCAAATTGACCTCAAATACAAATTAGATATAAATATTTTCTACATCTTCTAATGTCTAACTAATCCTATGCTTTCTTTTCTGCCATGTCTTTGATCAAATTCAATAACACCAAACATTCCAACAAATGGCATTTTCAAATGTTTGTATCTGTCAATGAAGAAATAAAGTCAATTTTATATTTTATACTAATAAACAAGTATAAAGTCAAATGATACATATGGATATACCCAAAGGTAATTCAATGTGCAACTTGAGGGCTTGCCAGATGAACGTTCACCTGGGTTGAAATATGTTTGCACAGATTAAGAATTTGTCATTCTGAAAATTAAACATATTAAAAAGATTTTCTTGAAGAATATAAAGTAAATGATCTGTTCATTTCTATCTTGTTGTAATGATTTGGTATTTGATATTCCAACTCCATGTGCCCAATTCAACAGCACTTGTTCCTTTCTCATTACTGAATTGATTACATAAATTAAAATATTTCCAATTAACAAACATAACAAAAAGTTTCTATTTTCCAGCAAAATGAGAGATCAAAAAAACAACACTTTGGATGGAGAAAACGGAAAGAAAAAAACATAACAAAAAGTTTCTATTTTCCAGCAAAATGAGAGATCAAAAAAAGAACACTTTGGATGGAGAAAATGGAAAGAAAAATGGATTCAAGCAAAATCGATTCAAGCAACATCAGAAAACTACTTCAACGAAAAAGGACAAATTTTAGGGCAAGAACAACATGAAAAACCTTACCTGATTGTTGTTGTTGACGAATTTGACAGAGCTGGATAGCGTCAATGGTGGTGCGGAGGCGGAACCATTGGTGGAGGCGGTGACCGGTTGGTGGCGGAGTGCTAATGGAGGGTAGCAGATCGTCGACAAGGGATGGGAGGGGAAAAGGAGACCTGAGAAATAGAACGATAAGAGGATAGGTAAAAAAGAACATGCATGTATTGTTTTTTCAGACATAACCTCATATCTGAAATATTAAGAGTTTTCTGATAAATTAAGAGGTAAAAATTAGATGCAACCAAACAATCTACATTTGATATTTTAAGAGCATGTCTCTTAATTTTCCAATTAAGAGGCTACCAAACTGTTGGATTAGTGTCTAAGCCTGTAACCATATTTGGTAAGTACTTGACCCGCTTGTGCATGGTCCTTTTGGGTTGCCTTCACCAAAGCAACTTGATTGGAGAAATAATAGAGAAAGAGATTATTATGATTTATTAATATGTTATAAGAATAATATATTAAAGGAGAAATCATATTTGTTTAATTAATATTGGTCAATAATTAATTAGGAATTAATTTTGTGATCAAGTGTAAATTAATTAAACTAGAGGGGCTGAATTGTAATTATGTGATAGTTACAAAGTAGGGTAAGGATTATCCTAATATGGGTTGAACGAAATCTAAAGGATTCGTATCCTTGAAATCGTCCAAAGATATAGGTTGTCAAGGCTTATCATATTGTTACTTGGTGGGCAAGCAACTAGATAAGGATAACGACTGAAACTCTAATCTCTACACCTATATAAAGACCCCTAAGGCTCATGAATTCGTCCATGCTTCCTAAAGGGTTCTTAGGGCTGAATTTACACCTCCCTCTTCTCTCTCTATAGCCTCTCCAATTGCTTGTGGTGTTTGTGAGCCATTAGAGGCACTACACTTGTGGTGCTTGCTTTCAAGACTTAGGGTTTGAAAATTTAAGTTATTATTACAATATAACAACAAGAGGTACGTAATCTAACCTTCTTGGTTAATTTCGATAATAGCAATCATCTTTATGGTTATATTATGTGTTCATAATGTTGTATATCTAATAGTGAAAACATATATCGAATGCTAGGGTTGCATATACATAGGATTGTTTGTATAAAACCTCATCAGTGGTATCAGAGACTTTGGTTGACTTGTTTTCAATTAGTATTATACAATTGTATGAACTTGACATATTAGGGTTTATTGCCAATAAACCCTAGGAGGCAAGGATTTTCGAGATTAGGGTTTGCAAACCCTAATTTGCAAAAGTTTGAATAAGATTTTCAAACCCTTTCCTTAAACATTTAAATTTCGAAATCTAGGGTTTGTCTTAATCCCTTGATTTTCAAAATTGGCCTCCTTCCAAAGATAAGATCCTAATTTTAGGGATTTAGATTATCTCATATCTTGTAATTATCCTTTAAGTTTTATATATGATAATTAAAGATTTTGGATTACCTTAACCTTATTTTCGAAATCTATAAAGATATTTAAGGGATTAGGATATCTTAAATGCAGAAATGGTAATTATCCTCATGATTTAGATAATCCCTTATGATTTAATAATTAAATTAATAGTCTAATTCAAGATAATTATTAAATCAAGAGTTTTAATATTTAAAATTTTAATTTAAATGTCTTAAATTCGAAAAATTTTAAGTGAGATTAAAACCTAATTGTTTTGAAAAGTTTCAAAACTTGCCCTCAAGTTTTGGAATTTAAATTGTTGATTAAAAGTTAATTTTGAAAATCTAAATTCCAAAAAACTCTAATTTTGGAAGGTTCAAATTAAACCCTTATGGTTTTATTAAATTAATTAAGTGTATAATTAAAAAAGAGTTAATAAATCCATAATGATTTTGGTTAATTAAAAGTATAATTTAAACCACCTAGTATTTTAAAAGTGTAAAATACACCCTTATACTATATATAACATTAAAAGTTTAATATTATATATGTATAACTAAAATGCTAGTCTTACCGTTAGTAGGCACGAAGCCGATCTAAACCGGGGGTATAAGTTTATGGCCTATAAAATGGTCGTTTAATGGGTATCCACTCTTACCCACCGCTTCCTTGATTGGTGGAGGGTCGTTAGCCGAACGGGTAGGATAGGGCAGTCCCTTCTTCATTAATAAGTATAATGAATCTATGTAAAGTAACTAAACGCTTTTACAAATTCCCAATATTAGTTACTTTAGGCAAAAGTGAAATTGATGCAATCCCATGAAATTACACTTTGCACCCTTGCTAAGACGTTAGTGGAGCGCGTGTGGTTAACCGGCACACAAATTAGGTTCTAAGAAAAAGTGGCAAAGGGTGCTTCAATGTTAGTCGTAGGTCGATGGAGCGTGTGTGGTTTACCGGCACATCGAATAGGTGACTGTAACAATGAGGGCACCATGTAGATTTGCATGGTTATTCACACCCACTTTGTGATCCTCGACATCCCAGTCAAAAACGAGAGGGGCATATCGAGATTTAAAACATATCATTGAAGAGTTCAATGAATCTCAAAGGAAATCTAGGAATTCCTAATACATTTAAAACTTAAGCCTTTATGTTTTTCTTGGTGAAGAATTAGTGAATCGTCATTCACTTACCTCCAAATTATTTGCATGATGGATTATGGCATCCCTCTTCTAATGTGTAAATAATGTTGTTGGATCCTAGCCTTAATGTTTCATTTGGGTGTTTCATTAAGAATTCAATCAACTAACTTGAAATTTCTCCCGTTTTGTAGATGTCTGACTCTAACCGTGGTCTTCCCGAATCCCAAGGAAAAGGTATTCTTGTTGAAAGTAAAAGTTTGTTCCAAAGTGAAGGATCAACATGGACTAGCTTAATTTCACTCCCTCCTCCTCCTCCCGTTGTTCTCCCCGACCCACAAGATCGAATAATTGAAAGGTTCAAGATCACCGAAACCCTATTGGTAATGGAACATCAAGATGGTAAGCCCGTGTGTGCTCACGTCCTAGGGATGAAATCACACATCGATAGGTTGATTATGTTGGGTGCGTCTTTCCCCAATAAGATGGTTGTGGACTGGGTTCTTCAGTCACTCCTTAAATCATATGGTAAGTTCATAAGAGAGTATCATATCATGAACATTGACACGACCCTCATTGACTTAACTTACATGCTTATTGCTGCTGAATCAGAAATGATTTGGCGAAGTAATGGAGCATATTTTTCTAGTGAATCAACAAACCATGCTTCCGCTGATGTTCTAGGAGAACCCACCTATTTCTGCTGCCAAGGGAAAGGGAAATGGATACGAAGCTGCCCAAAGGAACTGAAGAGTCTAAGAGATGGAAGAGTCAAGAAGTGTGGCTCTGCTTCAGGTACAAAATCCACTATCTAACCCCATTGAATTCCTATTCTTTATACATAATGTGATAAGATTACATTGCATGTTTTGCAGGATCAAAGAAAAGAAAGGAAGGTTGATGGAACAGCAAGATGAGTCTGATCACGAAGAAATGGATTACGATCGCATGGATTCGAAGATCAGATTTTGAGCTTAGGAAGTTATGATAGATTTGTTAGGAGTATTTGATTACATAGTTTTTCAATTGAATTTTTGCATTGTAAGGGCATGTTTTTCCGCTGCTTTTATGAATAAAATAGATTTTGATTATCCTTACAATGGCTTATATGAAAAATTGATGTTTGTGTACTTCCAATATTAGCAAAATGGATTTGATTCTTAATTAAGTTGTTTTAGGTAGTGTCAAGAGTTTACCAAATAGGGAGAGTTTCTCATCGCCCAAGTTTCAAGTGGATAGGAACTTGGAATCGTGCAACAAGCATTGCATGATGAATGAAAAACTATCACATTTGGGAAATTTAGACTAATTTTTGACAAAGTATCAAGTGAAGGACTATGAGATCAAGTACACAAAGTTGTGTGTTGATCAAGTCCACCACAAGAGTGACAAGATATTCATCATACTAAAGTTTATTAAATATGGTTACACTTATAAGATTAAATATAATTCTGAATTGATTAAAAGAGTTTCAATCAATAGCAGAACGAATAAGAAGAATCAAGTAGGCAGAAAGATAAAAGTTTCTCCATTCTAAGAAGAAGGGAGAGTACCTTTTATTGTGTTTCATGATAAGACTTAATGATTAAGAACCATATCTCAATTGATCCTCTAATGATTCTTAGTACAATTTGTATGTCTGAGAAGAGGAGATGAGAATTGTGAAAATGGTTAAATCAAGAAGTCAATCATACTTCGTTCCAATGTCAAGTCTTAGAGTTACACTCCAAGATTGTGAATTAGGTGATAAAGCTTAAGAAGGTTTATAACATTCGTCAAATTTGAAAGTTGGAAAAAGGGTTTTTCTTGTTCTTACACATTTGAAATTGGTAAATTGTGATGTCTTGGAGAAGACAAAGACCAACTAGGACCAATTATGTGAAGAGTTTTGTCTTGATGAAAGCTGCACTAACTCTTGAATATTTGTTTGTCAAGAAATGTTTCTCAACAAGGGAATCTTATATGTCAAGGAGTCAGTGGGAGTCGTAATGGTCTTGTAAGGTTTCAAGAACAAATCAAGAATAGACCTTATCATTCATCACTAGCACACAATTTGAGGTTTACGACCTATCATGTTGACACTATTTTGTTTCTGTGCCATTCCGAATTGAGTTAATTATGCAAGTAAGTTCTACGAGTTCTCAACGGATTGTATAGGGGCAAGACACCTTATTCAATGGAAAGTACATTGAAATGAAGGGGTGAGCTGCAAAATAACTTGGAAGAAATGGTGGGACCCTTAATGGCAAGAAATTAAGAAGAACAAGTTCTATCCATAAGAGTCTGGATTTGTCACTAACATTATCTTGTGATTATGGTTATAACAAATTCACATGGATGAGAACGAATACACCACAAAATCTAAGTGTCATAAGGTTTCTTTAATTCATAAGAATGATTGTGAGGAAACGCTTTCACTAAGAGAGATTTTGAAGATGACATTATGTGATTTGGGTTTCTCAAATTCAACTTTGATTATGGCATATCTCTTTATAGTTCGAATTGTAGGAAATGGCAAATAAATCTGAACATCTTAGACTTATTGATATGAGTCCTAGAATCGTTTAGACATATACATATGAGTTGTCCAAGGAAAAGTGTATGAGTTTAAGAAGCTTAGATAGAGTCTTATCGAAGCATCTAGTATTAAAAATA